TCGGTCGCTTAACTTTTGGCCTTGATATAAGCGAACTATGGCTGAAAACCCGAAAAAAGGGTTAATTTTGGTCTAATACTCTAATCCATGCTTTCCACCCTTAAAAATCCGTATTTTGGCCAAAACATTGGAAATAACTTACCTTTTTAAGCTAGTAATTAAATCCCCAATCGATTGGCATTAAAAACTTGGAAACTTAATTTTTTGGCCTTTTTTATTTTTTCAAAAAATCACCAAATCCCAATCAATTTTTCAAGACATAAAAGAAATCTCTGAAAGTTTTTTCGCGTGCACTGGAGACGAATATAAAATCTATTTGACAGACCAAGTTTTTGGCGTACATTTTGTGTACCTCTGTTTGCTTTTTGAGTTCAGTTCGGTTCCAGCAGTCACATTTGATTCCATTCGGTTAAGTTGCGAACGGTTCAAGTTGGCCAAATTCAATTGGGCTAACTTTTTGCGGTCTAGCGCCTCTGACATGCTGACATTCTAGCGCAAATGCTGATTGTGATTCTGATTCGGGATCTCGGCCATTTGGCAATTCGATTAGGTGGAAATTGTAGTGAGCTTTTAATTCAATTAAAGCCAAAGCCAGCCGATAAACGGGTCCGATTTGCTTGGTTAATGCCCAAGTCATAAATCTCCATTCTCCGTTCAGTGGCGGCAATTAAAATTTATCTTTAATTGGCACGTGTAGCCATGAGCAGTTGGCCTGGCCCCAGAAACCCAGGAGCCCAGGGACCCATGAGCAGTGCACCCAATCCAAGCGGGCCAACTGGCTTCTTGAACTTTGCCCAGCCTTATCGGCATTCCGTACTGCTGAATTGGGATTCGGATTGGGGATGGTAGCTGGTGTCCTCCGGATCGCAGCAAACCAAGCGGCGTGGCGCTGGGCACACCTGCCGCTTAACTCCTGAAAGGAACTTACGATTACAACCCTACACACACATGGGCGTACTTCGTGGGGGCTGCAAAAAGGAGCAAATTGTAATTCGGATTTAATTGCCTGTTAACACGCACCCGCGCATAGCGGGCAAGACCGGTAACAGCTCGTAAAAAAGGCGCGAGGCGGAGAAAAGAGACAGAAGGTGAATCAGCATTGCCAGGCGAACCCAGGATACCCTCTCTATAGGGTCTGGGATGTTTAAAAATCATATAGATCACATAGATCCTACTAAATGTTCGAAAATATCAAGTCTGAAATGCAATTTTGAACTTATAATATTTTTATTTCGCTCTTATAGTACTTTATACCATTTTTAATATCAACTTTACACGGTTTAATGGTAAAAATTATATTGAAAGCTTATATAGATAACATAGATCATATTAAATGTTTTAAAATATCAAGTTTGAAATGGAATTTTAAACATATAAAATTTGCATTTCACTCTTATGGTACTTTATACCATTTTTAATATCGATTTTACATGTTTCAATGGTTTAAATGATATTTTTGAATAAATAACAAGAAAATATATCCTTTATTAAAGCGAATGCCACTTTCAGGCGGGAAGTGCATGACTTTTTGGATTGTAAATGAGTTAACACAGGGGGAAACTGTTTGGCATAAAGTGAACAGCTCGTAATTCACCTAGTTTGGGTTTGGTTTTTGGAGCAGCTTAACACTTGGCGCCCAGCTTGACTCCAGTTGCTTCGTCGGCTACTTTGTTTCAACCGGACGGAGTTGCAACTAATCATTTTAGCCAAACTTTCGCCGATAAGCTGGCCGCGAATATGCGCAATATGCACGTACAAACGAGGCTCTGTGGGCTGAATGCTTTGAATAACTATTAAATTTCCCCCAACCAAGACCGAGACATGCCCGCAACGCAATAAGGATAACACAAACCACATCAAGGTCCCGCCGGATACGAGCCGGAATGAAAGAAGTGCTGAACTGTGCATAAAGCGCAGATAGACACGGAGATATGTGTGGCAACTGACATTCATTACGGCATAAATTCGTTTAGTTGCTGGCCTGGACTTGTGGATCAGGACGCCAGTTCTCCATTCTCCGTTCCTGGCACTGAGATGCGACCGAGAGATAGGACACACAGAAATGCCGATGTCGAAGCAACTATTCCTCAGTGCTCCCGAGCTCCACGCACTGTGAAAAGGGCCATAAAGTGAGTGGGTTCCTGTAGGTTGCAGGTTGCAGGTTGCAACCAAGTACAAGTCTGTTTGCAGGCAAATAAATTAACCATCCGTATCATCATCGCCCTGTGACGTGGCAATCTCCTGTGCAAGGATGTGTGTAATTTAATAAGTTAATAAATGGATGAGCTTGCAGCCAGGTTCCAGGTTCCTCTAGGTTCCTCAAATATGAATTTTTCAAGTCTTCAAGTGTGCCAGTTGGGAATTCGGAATCTGGAGTCCATCGACGTGGTTAACCCCAGATCAATCTGACGTCCGATTGATTGACCAGCTTGCCCGACCGCACAAATCACTATCTGGGCGGGTCAGCAGTTGCCGGCCAACTGATTGAATGATGACATTGAAGTCTAAAGACCGGGGCTCAAAAGGTGGCCAAAAGCCAAACTGCTGACTGCTCTGCCGACTGTGCCACGTACGTCCTTAACGATGAAAACATTACACAGCTCGCCTAATTGCCCACTTAAACGTCAGTTAAGGCATGCACCTAAAGATCCAGCCCCACACACACCTTACACCTCCTGAAGTAACCCATGAAAACGTGCACACACGCACACTTGGCTGTCAACAGTGTTGCAACAACAATGACTCGAGCGTTTTATAAACAAATGAAACAATTAATTTGATTCCGCTCTCCAGCCAAATCCTATTAACTGCAACGTAAAAGAAAAACCCCCCTCGGCACTTAAGTATCCGTGCATACGTATGTATGTAACTACGTATGTAACCACCTACCTACCTACATGCTACACTTTCATGCATACTTAATTTGTCAGCTTGGCGCAGGTTTACACCCATTTTAGATATCGTTAACTAACTAACTGTTGCGTTCGTCCTTCTGCCTCCTGGAAAGGCCCTTCCTTCGGGCGGCAGGAACGGGTGAATTTATGGCCGCTCACATATGGCGCCGCAAGGTGTTTCCATTTAAATTTTAGGGCGGCTTAAGACAGGTCGAGTTGAGTTATGCATTGAAATTTAAACTATGCATGTGCCCAGGGAAGAGTCGCGCGAAAGTTGCTTCTCCTAGCCGACAGTTTCGAGAGGCTTGTGTGTGTGGTAATTAGAAAATTTTATGTGATTACATGGGGAGCGTGCCACGGGGCGGATGCGGATGGTTGACAAAAAGAGCGACAGCTCTTTGCCAATGAGGGAAAAGGTGGGAAAATAAAGGGTAAAGTACAAAAGCGCCTATTAGAATATTAATAGAATACTAAATATAACGTCAAGTATGCCTTCCTGTAGCTCCGCTGAGCCTTTGTCTAGATCAGGATGGAATGAATAGAATGGATGTGTGGAGTATGTGGTGTGTGGTGTGACTGAACTTGAACCCTCATTCGAATCCCCTTGCTAAAAGACCCTCTTTTTTTCGCCTTTCTATTTTTCAACTGACCTCGATGGACTTGCATTGAGGACAAGTGGAGTTGCAGAACAGAAGCTTTCAAATTGAATGAAGCCAGCGCGCGCAAAGCTCCCGATGGCTTTCGTTTTCGGCTCAAAGTCCTTGGCTCAGAGAGAATAACTCAATTTAGGCGCCCGAGGATTCGTCGTGCGGCGTCGTAGGTTCGTGGTCGAAGGTTCGGAAACTCCCACATCCACGACGAAGCCAAGACCACGAGACCACATCACTTGTGCTGGGAGTCCTGCCATCCTGGCTTCGTCACTCTGACAGCGGCGGCGGAGTCTTTCGCTTAGACGCACCCACAAAACACTTGAACGCCGCAGCTGCTCCTCTGAACTCCGCTCTATGGTTCAATCTAAGTGGTGCTAGAAGGCGTTAACCAACGAGCACTCGGCTTGAGTTCTCCGCTTTGAGCGCTTTGCTGCTGGAAAAAGTGCGCACAATCCCAGCCGTCGAATTAAAAATCCGTATGTCCAACCAATTGCAGGGTCAGGAGTTGTTGTTTTAGTCTTCCCGCCTTGCACGATATGTTCTTAGTGGCCCGTTCGCAAATTCACTTCCCAATAGACTTGGTTACTTGGTTTACGCATGTATTTCGTTTTTAAGTATTCTTGCTGTATTACAATATATGTGATATATAAAGATTTCGTATTCTTCTCCTCCGTACTCTCCGTATTTCCTATATAAACATTATGTTTCCTAATCGTGCTAAAAAAAATCAACAACAAATTAAACTTAATTTCCCTTTAAAAGCATTTTGCATTAGGTGTACATACATACAGATACATATACATTTATTTGTATTTATATATATCTATATATCAGTGTTCTCACACTTGACAAATTCAACGGCAATTTCATATTCAACTCTATTCATATTTATATTTATTTATATTTATATCCATATCCATATTCATATTCATATCCATAGCCATGTTCAAACTCATTTACTCATATTCATATTCATATCTATACTCATATTCGTATTGGTTTTAATATTTTGTTTGTATCTGCGATATTACACATGTAGGTATAGGTATAAATAGCTCTTGCGATTCATTGGATGATATTTCATTGTCTTCGTATTGTGTTTTAAATGCCAGCATGCTGCTTCGGATTTTGGATAATCTGATTCTGATTCTGATTCCGATCGTAGTTATCGTACAAACATTTTCTAAACTTCGTTAGTCGCTTCGGGATTATCTACATGAATACATTTACGAGTACGTCCTAGTTACTTTGTATTGGTTTTGCAGTTTGATGCTACGATGCAGTAGTCGAGTTCTATGAAATAGACAGTCTTATGTACAATATCTCTGGACTGCTTTGGGGAAAGGGGTCTGATATTTGATAAATAAATCAAAAGACACTGATATTTTCGACTATAATCGATAATTATCGATAGCCAGCAGAAGTCTATAGTGAAAACAATAGAATTCTGAAAAAATCCTCGTAAATTTTAATATTTTATTAATTCGTTTATCAATAATGCGTGTAAAAAAATTAATATTTAAAATTAAAAACTATTAGAAATACTTTTAAGGCGAATTACAATATGATCTTGTTTTTGGGGTAACAAAAGACAAAACACACAGGTCCACTGGTAGACTCCCAATTTATAATAGTTAAAATAATGTTAGGCTGCAATTAACGATAATACAGATTATGGGTTTCGACTGTTTCTGACTATGATTTCATATTTTCCTATATAACTTCTTCGGTGATGTTTAGTATGTATGTCTATGGGGGAAATGCCTATGCCTCCGATTAGCCTTTTGTTATACTAGTGAGTACACAACATCCAAGTGTCTAAGAAGCTCTTGATTTTGTCCTTCGAGTCTGGGTACAGTTCCCTAATTCCCTCGAGAGTGGGTATGATGGCATGATGGGTAATCATTAATCATTAATCATTTATCGGGTATCCGTAATCATATGTTCCACTAATTAGGTGTATATGGCATACCGTTCTATGTTACAGTTAGCATATGAGTAATTCAACATGTACGTGTGCGTTTTGGGTGATGCCTGTGCCTACAGATATCGGCTATAGTCGTGACTCGCTCCTCTTAGTCGGAATTCGATGCGGATCTGGACGTGGATGTGGATGTGGACTGCCATCGCGCGCTGTCGTGCAATCATCTGCAGACGGTGGAGTCGTCGCCCGCGCATATGGAGTGCGGTGCCGCCAGGAAGAGCTTGCCGTTGGAGCAGGCGCAGAGCTGGAAGACGCGGTGCATGTGATCCCTGCTTTGGGCCGTGCCCAGGATGGGCGGCTGGGCCGTCCGTAAATTGGGCATGAGTATCTTCGAGGACTCCAGTCGCAGCTGCAGAAGAGAAGATAAAAGAGGGCACAGAGAGATTTGCTGGCTGCTCCAATCCAATCTCCAATCTCCAAGCTAACAAGCCTTCAATCTTCAATCATACTTACGCTCCCATCGAGGGCTCGGAACTTGACATCTTCCAGGGCCACGACTTCTATGCCGCCTGCCCGCGATTGCAAATTGATGTCCTTGGCCGCCGTCATCTCCAATTGCCGGGTGGGCGATTCGAGTCTGTAATTAAATCAGGCGCCTTGGTTAGTCAATGGGAACGGAGTAGCGCCTAATGAAACGGAAAGTCGCGCAATTGCGGTGCCTTAAAAACATTGCAATTGCAATTTCACTTTGAATCGCTGGCCTGCTGATTCTGATATGACTTTGCATTGACATCATCGACCGGCTCGTCAACTGCTGAAATATTTGCGTGTGTATCTGTGTCTGGCGCCAGACAATTTGTAATTTTCATGAACCAACAGGCAGGCAGGCAGCTATCGCCAAATTTGTCAATGAAAATGTTATTACAAGCCGCCGATCCTGTTAATGGTTCATGTGTATACAGGCTGGATGGACAGATGGATGGATGGATGGGCCTATGGATAATGCAGCGACTGCCTTTCAACCACCCACAGCAATCCCAGTCCGATTCCGATTCCGGCGTTAGCCAAAAGGTAAAAACGGGGAAAAACGAGGAGAAAAAAGAGTCTGTCCCCTTTAGCGCTTTTTAATTCACTGCCACCGTTTGTGTACATTCCTGACAAATGTGTATAAATATTTTTGCGCCCCGCGTGAGCTCAGTGAGCTGCAAACTGAATACTGAATACTGAACACTGAACACTGAACACCGACACCTAGATGCACCCACTCTGGCAGGTTGTTTTTGCCACCACCGCAAAGGTGACGTTGACAGAGGCAGCCGAGTGTTTGCTTTTAATTTTTTATTTCTCAGATTTCTCAGCCAACGCAACAGCAGAACGACTAATATGCCACAGACTGTGGATGCTGTGCTGCAAATTTATTGCGCTCATTGAATTTCAACACCGGACGACGGACGAGGCTTTCGATTTCATTTACTTTAATTGGCCCCGGCCGATGCACATGCACTACGCTACTTGGATCTTCAGGGTCTCTGCACACAAAAAAATTTGCTTGGTAAAATTGACCAATGAAGATAGTTCAGTAACTATAAAAAATAGTACTTTAACAATAAAAATAGTCGTCCGTTTTTGCAATGCGTAACGTAACTTCTTCAGTATAAAAGTGTGCAACAGTAATTTTACAAATCTTCTGCGATGCCTTTTTTATAATTCTAGTTTAGCCCTTCATGATTCATGATTCAGAGTCATTAAGACTTATTTTCTGTCTTAAGTCTTTAATATACTTCCACATTAGATGAAAGTCAAGTGCAATCCGCACCTTTATAAGGTGTAGGATAAAATCACTTTTGGAAAAGGTAATTGGACAACTACCTTTTAATATTACTTATAAATTACTGTGAAATATCTATAAATAATTGTATATTTACCATAAAAATAGTAAGTTAACTATAATTTATGGTTTGGGCACATTCTACCCTGTTTTACAGTTGCATAACTATTTTTTATAGTAACCCTTACGTTTACGAATAACCTAAGAGTAACAATTTACTTAGTAGAATTGACAATTTTTATGGTTAAGGCCTGTTTGACAATTATTACAGTTGATTTTACCAAGTTTTTTTTGTGTGTGGGGTCTGGTCTACTCACCTCAGTTCCCTTCCTGGCTCGGCGCGCACATGGGGCGTCTGCACGGACTCCCGGAAGACAGCGCCGCCCTCGCCCTCGATCCGCAGGGCGTGGGCTCCGATTGTGACTTCATTCCGATTCACCGAGAACAGGCTGCGTCCGTTGGTGTCGTTTATGCGAAAGCCCGCCGACAGGCACTCGAACTTGTCGTGTCCCAGGAATAAGTGATTCTCAATCATGCCATTCGGGTCACGTGTATTGATTGAAAAGTTACGTGATGACTCTGGAGTGCGAAGAAATGCAAATGGAAATGGAAACAGCGATGCCTTAGATAAATGCGGCTAATTCTCGTAGTAATTGCAATATAAATAAGTAAACACACTCCGCTAAACAGTTAAAGAGCATCCCACTTGTGTGTTACCTGCTTAAGATGGCACGTAACCAGAAGCCGGAAACGGAAATCGAATCTCGGGCTCCGCCATCCCCCATTCTATTGTCTCAGCGAAGGTCCGTCGCGGTCGACCATGGCCATCGCTCTTGGCTATCAACTATCCACTATCAGCCATCGCTGACAGCCACCTGGTGCTCCCCATCCTCCCACTTCCGAGCACGTATCTGCGGTTGTTGCTTATCGCTGCGGGAAATGCGCTCCTCCTGTCGACACATGGACGAAGGTCCCTGGGAAATCGCATCAGTCTTCTCTGCTCCTGCTTTCATATGGTCTATCTGTAATTGTACATCTTGGCTGCCGCACACAAGGTGCTCAAGCCCCCGATCTCATTTGGCGACGCTTAGCGTCTCTGATTTCCCGCCTGCTTGATATCCGTTGATTTATGTCTTGACTGGCACCCGGCACACATTTGTCGTCGTCGTCGAGGTCTCGCTTCTCCTCCTTGTCCACATGAATGTTTAAGCTCCGTGCACTTGCCCTCGGGCAGACGGAAAACAAATGGGCCTGCCAATGCTCCTCGGAGGCTGCATAATAGCGGCCAGCAGCGCAGTTCATTAAACATGCGCTGGCTGAATGGCCAGTCATCGGAGGCAGGAGGCGTCCATGACTTTGACATTTGCATAGGAAGTTCAACCGAATCCCCATCCCTGAATCCTAAAACCTAAAACCTAAGCGATAGCTCATCATGACGTGACCACGATCTAACCAACAGCCTAATGTACAAATTTATGAAATGAATATTAATAGGCCTGGACCTCCGAACGGGGGCTGCCTGTACTGATAGACTGATATACTGATATACCGATACCGTACACGTGTTCGCACCTAATCGCTCGATAAGGCCAGAGGCGCTCCACGGAAACGCAATTCACACTCACCTATGGAGATGGGCTGGCCGTGCCGCGAACGGATTGTCGATGCGCGCAGCATGTCCATAATTATCGCCTGTCCCGACAGCTGTATGCCACCGGGTACGATTTTCAGCTGACCCATGCCCTCCTAAAAACGTTCGGTTAGTTGGTTGGATAGCAGGGGATCCCACGTAATTACCGTCGAGAACTCCATCACTTTCAGTATCCAGAGGGTGAGCACCAGATTTGTGATGATGAGCAGCATCAGCAGCAGGAGCAGGGTGTACAGGCACTTCTTTCGCCACCCAATGAGGCCCAGATACGTCTCGATGCCCCCCACGAATCCGTCCACATTGGAGCGTCCGCCCGGTGGGTTGGGGGCACTGCGAACCACCCCCCTCGCGTGCCCATGGCCGCCATGACCGCTGACCGTGGCCTTGCCCGTCGTCGCTGTCACAGTGGTGGCAGTCATGGGTGCTCCTCCGCCTCCTCTGGCTGCTCCGTTACCGCTTCCCGCTGATCCGCTGGTGCCGCCAGTTGTCATTGGGCCAGGACGATGGCCACCTCCACCACCACCACCAACGGCCTTGTGCGGTCGCTTGGGCGTGGTGCCAACCGATAATCGCTGCGAGTTCGGCCCAAAGTCACTGATCTCACTGCTGCCAGCAGCCAACATTGCTGAGCTGCTGCACGGCAGCTAGTGGAGGCATGAGAGGCTCATGATTGCCGGCTGTTTCAATAATCTGCAAAATTAGGATTCGATTTTGATGATTTAGAGGTGTCTAAAAGGAAAAAGAATTCGTACTTGGGCATTTATGGGTTCTTTCGAGGATTCCAAAGCTTTTTCTCTCAAATTGATCTTAATGCAGATCAATTTGATATTCATTGTTTCAGTAAACTTGTAATGAAAGGCTGTGATATTTATATTTACTTTTGAAGGTGTCTAAAAGTATGCAGGAAAAGAGTTCTTCATTTTATTGGACACCTTTCAGGGGCTTTTTATAGGACTCTAAAGCACTTTCCCTTTTTTCACGTTGATCTGCCTTAAAATTATAACAAAATTTATATTCCGGGTATCAATAAATTTTTAATAATATTTCCCTTTGATGGCGTCTTAAGGTTATTCATACTTTTGTTGAATACTTGGCCCTTTTCAAGGATTCTAAAGCACCTTCTCTCAAATTGATCTGCAATAAAATCAATTTGAGATTACAGTTAATTTGTAATGAAGGGCAGTGATTTCATGTTTACTTTTGAAGGTGTCTAAAAGTATGCAATGAAAACTAGTGTATTGAAAATACATCCTTGCCCACTACTGGTAAATCTATCGTTATCTATCACGGAAACCCAATGAGCTTGCGATTACTATGTCTATATAATAAAGCGCAGATGTCCCTGTCTGGACGCCTGGAAGCCTTTGTAACCATAAATCTGGTCTGCAAGGCTCCTTTATAGACCCCTCGTTTGCCGAAATGGACTGCCACCCGGATGGCATTAAAATATGCAGCAGGCTGTGGCAGTTAGCCTTCACTGGAAGCTGGATGGGATTGCTCCTGCTGCTGCTCCTGCTCCTGATCCAATTGCAACTGCAACTGGAAGTGGAGGTGGAATCGCAACTACAAATGCACCAGTTGATGACTTTAGTGGCGTCAGCTGTTGACGACTTCACACGTGCAGCTCTTCAATTATGCATGCCTGCAGCAACTGCAACTGCAACTGCAACTGCAGGTGGATGTGGATCCGAATGTGAATATATATACAGATATATATATATGTGTGTATATGCCAAGTGGACGTGGATGGGGCGAAACATTTACATGCATGAGCTGTGGAAATGACGACAGGGCGGGCGTATTTATTAAACCATTCTGTCAAAAGAAATCATAATAAATAAAATAAAAAGTCATAAATGAATAAATTATAGACTTTTTGCTCGTGAGGCTCATAAATAAATAAATAAGTAATTCTAGAATAGCAAGTAAATTCTGATGTCAAAGGTAATTAGTTGAATGCGGCTGTTTCGTGCGTTGCCTTTGGCTTTCGCTTTAAAGGCTGCAAAGGTGTTGAATCTCTCGATTTTCGGTTTACGGTGTCTATAATTATATGATTATCTTAAGAGCTTACGAATCCGCATGAGTTATGAAATACATTTTGTGCGCGCTCAATAAAAATGTATAAATAAATGTATAGATAATTTCGGTTTCGGCCACTCATTTTTATTTTCATTCACTTCGTAAGTGATGGTTCAGTCCCACTCTTTTTGGCGAAGGCCTTTCGAAATTCAATTCAAATACGGTTGTTGAATAGTTTCCATTGGCACATGATGTACCATACTGAGTAATTGCCCGTAAATATTTTTTACGATCTATTCTCTTCTGGTCACCCTCATCTCGTGGTTTTCTTGCTCGCATACGTAGTATTGTCTATAGTACAGGCACTAACCTCCCGACTAAACACTCTCTTCCCTCCTTTTGGGCCCTGACCATGGACCAAAATTTTGTTTATGTTTATCATTATGTTTATATGGTCTGCGTCGGCAATTACTTCAATTGTTTACGGGCCACTTTAGTGCATTCGAAGTGACGAAGAGCAAAGAACAGCAAACTGTGAAATGTGAAATAGGGAAGGCCTTTTAAGTTGGGGATTTGTGATCTGCACAATGCTACTTATCAATATAAAAATCAAAATAGTATCTGAGGTGTGGCAAATAGAAAGTTTGGTGTAACGCAAAAAGGGCATAGGTAGAAGGGAATTAATTTAAATCGCTTGGGGTTTTGTTTTGTCCACTAAATGTACTGAAAAATAGAGGAATAAAATGCTTTTAATTCTGCATCATCATTGGAGTAAATAGCAAAGTCCCAGCTGCCAAGCAATTAACAGGGAAAACTTGCACAGTCCCATTTTATTATTTATTTTGGGATGCTTTCGGTCCAGGGCCGACCTAAAGGAGGCCCAAAGCGGCAGATGTACATCCAGAAAAAAACAGAATTATATGAATTCACACAGGAAATCACTGATTACTTTTAGTAGATCCTGAAAATTATCGATACTTTCGATATTTTCAAAGTTTTAATACGATAATATCGATATTTTGAAGGGAAGTACATTAGAGCTCGAAAGTTATCGATATTATCTATATTTTGACAATATTGAATAGATATTAATGATGTCTTTAAATTGAAAACACAATTTTAATATCGAGAAATAGCAAACTGTCGATATTTTTTCAAGGGAATAATCTTTTCCCCTTTATTTTTTATGAAAAGCGGGTTTTCCCATATTCAAAGTGCTTTATATAGTTTTTGGGAACTTTTCCTAACTTACAAATATTTCTTCTTTTATCACAAAATGCTGTAACTATTTCTGCTCATATTTTTTCTCCGAGTGCAGCCAGTAAAAAATCCAGACCAGATTCCAAGCCGGATGAAGGCCAAGGATCGTGCTCCGAGAATTGTTCAAGGGAGCTGAAGGTGATTTAGTATCTGCAGACGGACTGCGGACTCCACCGGACGGGGTTATACATGGCACGCACGCAACTGGAATCGGGGATCGGGAGTGTTTCGGGTGAGGATTGGGATTGGGATTGGGACTGGGATTTGGCCCAAGTGCAATATGAACTCCGCCGGGGCACAAGCATCACGTGCGGCACGTTATAGTAAAGTTGCCCAAACAGTTGCTCTCTCTCTTAATTTTGTTACTGCATCTTCCTTTGCTTTTGCTGCCACACGTTTTTATTGCGACTTGTGTCACATCCATGCATCCGCTTACATTGTGATATTCATGGGAAATTACGCAGGATGTTGAGGAATATGTGCTCTTGGGTAACAGATCTTGGCTGATATCGCCAGCCGCCATCCGCCACCCAAATGCGAGCGACCAGTTGTTCAAAAGTAGTTAATTTAAAGCGAAACGCAGGTGGCCCCGACCGAACCAACGTCCGTTTATAGAAATGAACTCGTAAATGGAAAATATTGCATTGTCCTGCTATTAAGTTATCAACGAGGACGGACAGAAAGGACGGACGGAGGCAGACATGACCGGAGACGGAGACCCATATGCATATATGTGGTTGGAGTGGAAGGATAAGGAAAAGGGTTGCGCCACCAACTAGCAACTATCAACTAGTGGGGTTGAGCAGCCTGTGCCACGGCACGTTCCTGGGACCGAAACCCAAACCCAAACCGAAACCCGGTCCCTAATACCCATCACCCATCCGCACTGAGTCGTAGTCCCAGTCGGCGTCGTGGTTTCGGACATAATACTCCGTATTCCGACTCCAACTCCGGCACAGCAGTTTCATATTTTGCAGCCATTTCATGTTGTGTCTTGTGCGAAAGGTGGTCGTATGTAGTGTGTAGTATGTAGTATGTAGTTGCCACACTTAATGGCGCTCGTACGTTTTGGCAGCAGCAGCAGGAGCAGCGGCTACACTTGTACTCGCATGTATATTGTTATGTCCTTGTTGCCGCCTGCAGGACATTTTTATTCCAATCATGCGTAAGTGGCGTAAGGGCCAGGCCGCCGTAAACCTTAACTTTTCCGCACCCATGTGGGAAGAACCTAATGGGATCTGAAGCGTTTCGAAGGGTCTGTACTTGGCACGGCTCCAGCTGTGTTTTTGGCAAGACTCGGATAGAAAATTAACCAAAACTAACTGCGCTAAACTGTGTATACTCTTTGATAAGACTAGCCAAGTCCCAGTCTCCCGAAGTGAAGAGATCAAGTTAGTTTAGCTAATTGATCTTCCTGTTTTAACTTCAACTTTTCATACATGTTAAGGTTTTACCTTATGGACGAGAAAACAGGCTTACTTAATTGTTTAAATAAACAGATTTCTAACGAGAACTTAGAGGTTTAGAGGATCCTCCTGATAGACAGGAACTTTTGAGACTATTTTCATAACCGGAGGTTAACTGGAGGTTAATCAAGATCATATACGTACTGTTGAAAATTTGAAGAGTCTTAATAAACAGAGATATTTAACCTATTTTCACAGCTATTGATCTCTTGGCCGGATTACGACACACACTAAAAAATAAGACTATTTTCATAAACGGAGGTTAACTGGAGGTTATTCCTATTGGAAATTTGGAAAGTCTTGATAAACAGAGATATTTAACCCATGTTCACAGCTATTGATCTCTTGGCCGGATTACGACACACACTAAAAATTGAGACTATTTTCATAACCGGAGTTAACTGGAGGTTCATCCAGATCATATACGTACTTTTGGATATTTCGAAAGTCTTGATATTTAACCTATTTTCACAGCTATTGATCTCTCGCCCGGATTACGACACACACTCAAAGATGAGAGTCCGATCGCGACGACACGACGCGCTGACCTTCACAATTTCCAACGCCAGCCATGGGCAAAAGCAAGAAGCACAGACAAAAAATAAGCACTCGAAAGCAATTTTTCGAACCGCCTGAATTTGGAAACTGAAATGTTTTGGAAACAGTATGTGATTTGTATTCCAAGCACCGAGTCCGCGCACGGGTACCGTCCTCCTTCACGGCAGCACAACAACTGACGGAATGGCAGCACAGAACACAGCGGCTGAATCACTTTGCCGGAGGAGTAGAATATCAGGCATTTCACATTTCGTATTTCGTTCGCAGCCAGTCGCTGCTCCGATTCGGAAAGCTTTTGCCGAGCGCCGCCAACGAGCGGATTTCACTCAAACATCGGTTGGCTGAGGACGGCCGCAGCCAGTTCCCCTGGCTCCCCCGCCATCCTGACCTCAATCGTTCTCGCTCGGCCCGACTCGAGTGGCCACCGAATGGATTGTTTACCTTCTTGGGCCGGAGCGAGCAACACGTGGTCAGCGGGAGCCACGTGTTGCTGCTGCTGCTGGACTTCAGACTTCAGTCGCCAGAAGATCTGCAGTGGAGCCATTCCAATGGTTCGATGGGCCTGCTTTAATCTGGCTCCACAGGAGCACAACTTGATTAAACTTTTGGCACGATTTGTAAATTATTCAGTGCTGCTTTGTGTGCGTCTCTTGTAATAAGCCGCCTGTTTCATGCACTCGCAATTCTCGAATTCTATAAATTCTGAAATATTTTGTAGGGAAGTATAATGCTCTAGAGCTAAATAGAAAATACATTTTTGCAGAAATTATGTATCTTTCGTTTAATGTAAAATTTCCATTGGTAATCCCATTAAAATTTAAATATATTCTAGATTCAAACACTTATGGATTCTGTTAAGTTTGATTTGGAATTTTGTAATGCAAATGGCATAGAATTTAAAAATATATTATTCTGCGTTATAAATTGTATATACTTTGTTCCGAGGGTTCGAAATGTAGTTGTCTCCGCTCGAAGTCGTGATGGCCCGTCCCATCTGCAATCAGGAACCCGTTCATCCTTTTCGCCCCTTTGTTTTCCACATGCCCATGCGTATTTATAAATTAAAAGAGTGTTCATCTTTGGCCAAAGTTCATAATTTGTGCGCCCTTATTGGAAGCACGACGCTCGCAGGGGCGGTAACTGCTGGCCCTCCTTTGTTTTAGACATCCAAAGGATATACACTGGGTCCTTCTAATTGTCCTTGTCAACAGCTGCTGCCGCTCCTCGTGGGGTCGACCCGGGTCAGATTCACAGATTCGGATGCGTAGGGGTTCGGGTGCTTAGCCAGCAATTGTTCCCGGCAGATCCGGCACTGGGCGATCAAGCCACGGTCCTCATTTGCGGCTTACTTGCACTCGCATATAGAAAGCCATTAGAAAAGTGAGCAAGAGCCTGAACAGAAAGAAAACAAAAACCCAGCCAAGTTGTGTGTGTTGTTAAAAGCTGCGGCCACTTTTTGCAGCTGCTTTCGGCTCGGAAAGTGGGCGTGTGTGCCCAAAAGACCTTTGTAGTTCCTCGAGGAGGAGGTGCTGGTTAAAATTTAAGTCGGCACATATGTGTAGTATATGTATTCAGGACGTAACCCCATCCAACCATCCCCCCACCCACTCGCACACATGTTAATTGTGCTCCGGATTGCGGAAAAAGGGTGGGGGCTTCTGAACAGTTGTTGTCCTAGCTTTCCCATCCCTTCCCTTTATGCATTTATAATATCTTAACTTGTTTTCAACTGGATTTGCCTCTTGAATTTGTCAGCAGCATGCTCGTGCTGGAAAAATAATGAGCCCCGAAAGTGCCTCCAAGTTTTCATTTAAATGCAGGCTATCCCCGAAAGTAATTAGAGTCCTTTGCTCTCCGGCTCACGTATTAAATTCCAAGAGATATAATGAGCAATCTGGCCAGTTGATTGGACAGTTAGGAGAGCTATCGCGGGGCTCGAGCCTCCATGTCAATGGCTATTTATACAAATGCCGAGCAAATAGTCGGCCGTGGGTGGGTGGCAAAGGGGGTGGGATGTGTGTTTACCTGGACTGTGGACTACCAACTGTGGACTATGGCCGGATACACGATTTTGCGGCTCGGCTCGGCTCGCATCGACTCTCCTCGACTCCAAGTTGTGCAAACAATCATAAATAAAGCAAGCAATCAAACATGCTGTTGTACTCTGATTACCCTAATTTGTATGCCACAATTTGACACATGACAATTGACACTTAGTTACAATGGGTGCCAACAACGTGGGTAACATGGAGCACTGCACTGCGGCCACTTGCCACATTGCCACACGGCCACATTGCCACACAGCCAAGCGCACATATTTGGCAATCATTTATTTTAGAGCCAATTGAATTTTAAGTAGTCAAACATGCATATGACATAAGTGCGCAGCCACACGCATGACAATGCGTCCAGGATGCGTACGTATAGCTATGTGTGTCTGTCGGTCGGTTGGGCAAACATTCGCATCCCGATGCATGCGTCCTGTCGATAAACGGCTCCAAGACTCCCGCTCTCACTACCATTCCTATTCCCCCCCTCCTGGCCGAAAAACAGAGTGATCGCCCTTTCAAATCATGGCCATAAATATGACAACTTGAATTCATTGAATGGTTTCATTTCATTGTTCCCTTTCAGTGGGTGGGAAAATTAATTGGCCAAACTATTTGGCTTTAACAGCCACTAAACGCGGCTTTTTAGAGCCCCCCCTTCTCGGTCCACTGCCTCGTTGGAAGTGTCGTGCGAGTGTCATCGCAGATTAAAACTCAAAATTGATGGGGCAATGTTTGCAGTTTTATTGTCATGGCCGCTGAACACGCAAAAGCCCTAATTCGATTTTACGAATTTCGAGCGGACAAACTTTGGCTAAGCTATGACATTGACATCTAGGTGTCTGTCTTTTTTAGCACCTTCAGAATAGAGCTTGAAAACGATCGATATTTTCGATATTTTGACAATATCGATTTGAAAATACTATTGTGTTGATTTCAAGAACGTTTCTTCTTGAATTTTTTTTTTTTATATTTGAATTTTCCCGGGTTTATACAACACATGCGTACTTTTGTCTTGAATTCAAAAGGGGTTTCAAGTATGCTATTGTCGTGATTTCAAGAACGTTTCTTCTTGAAAAAGTGAAACAGATTTATTTTTGTTGCTGCTTGAATATTCCGTTTATTTTGTTTTAATTCAAGAAGGTTTAAACTCGAAAAAAAAAGGTCGAGAATACTATTGTCTTGATTTACAGAACGTTTATTCTTGAAGAAGTGAGAAGACAATTGTTAAATTGAAAACAATTTATCATCGATTTGTTTGGTGTTTCGTTTGGAATTTTCCTGGGTCTATAAATATGCAAAGGTAGATGCACTGACTGTTATCTATACACCTAGTCAATAGTCCTGGTCCATCAATGTTGTTTCAATGCGAGTGCTCGTGCGAATGCAAAGTTATTGTTGTCGCTTTGACAAAGGCGGCTGGATGTGGATCATCCCATCATCGCCATCACATCACACGTGGCACACTGGTGTTGGTCCCTCCTTCCGGTTCCTGTTGCTCTTCCTGCCGCACAGCCGCTACATGCCAAGGGGCACAAAAACAAAGCACGGAAAAGAGCAGAAAAACAGAAATCAAACAGCTTACAATCGCGAAGTAGGAAAATCGCATCCTTGCCATTCTTTTTCTACAGATTCTGGCCAAAGCGAGAGAGCCCATGAATAATTCCACTTCAATTCCACTTTGTATATTTCATTTTTGCCGGCAGTGCAACATACATCACGGCAGCACAGCGTCAGCGACAGACGATGATGGGCAAAGGACGCGAAGGACGCAAAGGACGAGCTGACAATTGGCTTTGCTGATGACTGAATGACTGACTGATTGGTTGACTGACTGAACGACTGAATGGCTAAGTGACGGACGACAAACCGAGATTCGGACAAAACATTTCGAGTTTGCATTATGCTCTTATTAATTAATAACAATTCATAGGCCAATCCCATTTGGCCGTTGCAGTTAATCTTTTCGCATGTCCACCGCTTTTGCATTCTGATGGGTATATTCAAAGGCCTCTCGACCAGCCCACCAATCCTTTGTTCCCAGAAAAACTGCATCAGTTGGCTAATCTAGTCGATCACTGGGTATCGCAATGGGTATCCCATAGTCGGCAGGGCTTATTTTGGTTTGTTTACGCCATCTCTCTGCACTTAAATAAACTTTTGTGTCAAAATTTTATCAATTATTCAGTTAAAATGCATGGCAAATCCTGTTAAAACTCTGCCGCAGCAGCAGTGGCATCAACAATAACAGCATCGATGACAATGGGGGCATGGGGCATCGAGCATCGGGCATCGAGCAGAGAAACAAAAACCAAAAAGCCTGATAGCCAGGGATTGGATTGGAGGTGATGGAGGCGATGTGAGGCCACCAATTCGAGGAGGAGCCGATGGAGCTGGAGAAGAAACCATGTCACTGGCCACATATGGCCATTTGTCAATTGAATGATGGGAATATGAATTTATGGCATTAAAATCTTTTGGTTTTTCGCCCGTTTGGACCAAGTGAAAGCGAAAATGAAACGAAAAAGACCAACCGGAAAACAAAGAGTTGGTGTGAAAGCGGACAAAAGCTGACTAGGATCAGAAGGGCCGGCAAAAGCGGATTATTCGTAAAAACAAACTGCCTGCCGGCCAGCAGAATAAAAGAAAAAGCGAGAGGGTTCAGGCTGAGGGCTCAAAACAGAACACAATGCAAATGCGAATATTCGACGATATGGCCAAATGGCATTGTCGCATACAAGTCAATTGAAAACACACTCGATTGCCACATTGGCCGCCCTTCGCTGGCCAGGATGTGGATGTGGATGTGTGCTGGATGCCCCCGAGAAGCTGACGAAAAGGTGAACTGAT